CCCTTTACCCTCAAAAAATGAGACATTGTTTCTACCGTCACGGATTTCAATTTTGTAGTACACTCCAAATATCTAAGGACAATTTTTGTAACTAGCACCGGACTTCTGTGTGCATAACTAGCTCAGATACAATATTGTAACTACCAACACACATTTAGTGACTAGCAAGTCACAATATTGTATCTGATTCCAGTTATGCACGCAGAAGTCCGGTGCTAGTTACAAAAATTGTCCTTGACATTTAGAGTGTACACTGCTCATCAACATAAGCAGGCGGATTTTTCAATCTGACGTAGATTCTATGTTTTTTTGAGTAAGGTAGCTGAGAATTGACATGCAGGCGTCCCAATCATTCATCTCGAGGCTCAGGAAGTGCGCAAACCGTTGGCCACCCCTAACGAGCTGTGCACACCCTAAATGTAAAAGAACAATTTTGTCCATTTTACAAGTTAAAAAATTGTTTCGTTAGAGAGGACAAATTCCAATTTTGTTGTATCCTCATGGACAAACTTGTTTCCTGTTTCGTGGACAAGACATTTGTCCCAGCGAGTGAACGTTTGAATCCGTCCCTCTTTTCGCAACAAATTTGTTTCCAAGGGGGGGACAATTTGTTCAAGGAACATTTTGTCCCTTCCAATGACACACTTTGTCTTTAAAATGACACGTTTTTGTCCATAGATCTCTTGTCTGCGGCTATGGACAAACATTTTGTTGCTAGTTTAAGATACAAAAAAAAGGTTCCTTTACATTTAGAGTGCACCCCCTAGAGTGGAGGAGGGTGAAAAAACCGGCCGTAACAACTCCAAAATTGGCACTTCAAGTCCTCGGAAAGACCAGATTTTTCGTGAGTCGACCCACAATTTTGTTCTCATTCGAACGGTGTAAGCAAAATTGCGATCGGACCAACTAACCCCCTTCCACACTCACCCCCCCCCCCTCTCGAAGGGGTGAGTTTTGAGGTTCGTCAAATCGAGCTCTATATCCTCTGGGGAAGTACCCTGTATACAGCCCTTGTGTTTGTTTTCGAATCGGGCAACCTCCGGCCAAACCACCCCCGCAATCACGCAACCCCTTTTTGAATATCGGCCATTTTGGAACCTTAGGGTTAAAGTTTCGGCATGAAACTTTCAGGAATGATCCTTTTTGCCACCTGGAACACATTTTAAAATGACACATTTTTGTCCATAGATCTCTTGTCTGCGGCTATGGACTCACAGATGCACTCACAGATGAATCTTGCAATGAACAAAAATTGTCCCCTGAGATTTAGAGTGCGTATGATGTGAATTGTGTGAATTGGGTCACGTTCCTTACAATATGATGTCACACGATGGCACATTCGTCATAACGTGGTATTTCCTTGCATTGCTCTGCCTTCAAGGGCTCAGTGATGGTAGGCGTGACGTACCTACATTATAACGAATGTGACATATTTTGTGTGACACAATGCTTATTATATTGAATGTACAACGTCCACGTCATGATCATGACGCCACAGTATTAAAATTACACTCTCAGCCCGTTATTGACAATTCGTATGCAAAGACGAACTTATATTTACAGCAGTATTACTCACAAAATTTCTTGGTAATATGCATTTTCTTGAAAGATGATGCTCACAATGAGTCATTTTAAGTCCACTAAAAAAAATATTTTAATCCGTTTTACAAGCATGCCTTATTCTCACTAAATCTGCACCTGCTAGATTCCAATCTGCAGCTGGTTGAGGTGTGTACAAAAACAAAAACTCGTCTTTCTATGGACAATAATAGAGCCCCAGTAGGGTAAGCATCACAAGGGACAATTTTGTCCGTAGATTTGGAACCGATTCGTGCACATCCAGAAAGGATGCAGTTTTGTTCCTAAAACTAGACAAATTGTGTGAGACTTTGCACCATGATAGTAGGACCTAAGATGGAGAACCGGCATGGGGCCCCAAACCGCTACGCCACTGCGCGTTTCGACGTGTACACTCTAAATGTAAAGGGACAATTTTGTCCGTAGAAATGGAACCGATTCGTGCACATCCAGAAAGGATGCAATTTTGTTCCTAAAACTAGACAAATTGTGTGAGACTTTGCACAATTTCTAGTACTTCCAGAAAGGATGCAGTTTTGTTCCTAAAACTAGACAAATTGTGTGAGACTTTGCACCATGATAGTAGGACCTAAGATGGAGAACCGGCATGGGGCCCCAAACCGCTACGCCACTGCGCGTTTCGACGTGTACACTCTAAATGTAAAGGGACACTTTTGTCCGTAGATTTGGAACCGATTCGTGCACATCCAGAAAGGATGCAGTTTTGTTCCTAAAACTAGACGAATTGTGTGAGACTTTACACAATTTTGTCCATTTAAGCAACAAAATTGCATCCTTTCTAGATGTGCACGAATCGGTTCCAAATCTACGGACAAAATTGTCCCGTTACATTTAGAGTGTAACTCCCGTTCAAGAGAACTTACACACAAAAGAAAAACTGGTTTAGAATCTAGGATGTCTCCTGATTTGCCGCATATAAAAACAATTGTCGAACAACAGTCTGGAAGTGGAGGTATGGAAGCTCAAAGTTACGCCGCCGCTGTCGCGGACGTGGCGCCTCTGAGCGCCACCGCCTGCTGGCAAGATCTTACAAGGGAACCTTTTCAGGTGTAAATCTCCGATTTCGTTGGTACTCGGAAAATTTAAAGGTTATTATAATAGAAGTCGGATGGCACTTGAAATTCTTCCTAAACTTAACATTTACTAGGGGTTTACTTAAGCCTGACACTGTTTTTTGCTTCAAATATCTCTCTACCGCTTTAACGGTTCAAAATAGAGCAAAACGGTCAAAATATTGGCCCACAGGGCACTACTTTGACGAGTTACCCCTTAGAACACTGCTTCACATTTTTTTAAAAAAATATTTTTTTCTAACACCTTACTCCTACCTTATATAGGGGAAAACTAAATGTCAGGTTTAGGAAAAATTTCAAGTGCCATCCGATTTCTACATAAATAACCTTCAAATTTTCCAAGTTTAAACGAAATCGAAATCGAAAGAGATTTACACCTGAAAAGGTTCCCTTGTTAGCCATGCGGAAGTTTTTTTCTTCTTCTTTCCACTCCGAGTACGTTAAATATTGATATCAAAAGGAGTTTGACATAAAATATGCCCCCTATAGTGCAGCATTTTCATTATTTGAGAAATGAAAACAACGAGAATACGCCCGGATAGAGAAGAAGAAAGAAAACACTGCCGGAACGGCTAAGATCTTGCCAGCAGGCGGTGACGCTCAGAGGCGCCGCCTCCGCGACAGCGGCGGCGTAACTTTGGGCTTCCATATCTCCACTTCCAGACTGTTGTTCGACAATTATTTTTATGTGCGGCAAATCAGCAGACATTCTAGATTCTACAACAGTTTTCCTTTTGTGTGTAAGTTCTCTTGAACGGGAGTTACACGTCGCTACGCGCAGTGGCGTAGCTGATCGGGGCCCCAAGCCGGTTCTCCATCTTAGGTCCTACTATCATGTTTACACAATTTTGTCCAATTTAAGGCACAAAATTGCATCCTTTCTAGATGTGCACGAATCGGTTCCATTTCTATGGACTAAATTGTCCTTTTACATTTAGAGTGTGCACCTCTGCTTGCTCGGTCTAGCGCTCGTCCAAAGCGAGGGCGATCACCACGTCGCCGCTCACCCGCCCAAAAACTGCCTGGTCTCGCAAGGGAACTCATAAGAAGGGTTAGTCCCCTATTGTGTTCCGCCTTGGGAGTTTTGTAAGGTCAGTGTCAGAAAAGACGGACGAGAACAACTAACAAGGCGGTGAATATCAGAACAAAGAGTCGTAACTACTCTCGTTCTAGGAAGCAATAACGTATTTAATTAGTAGCAATAATTTTGGTTCGGATTTTCGGATTCGGATCGTTTATTTGTTAACACGGAGTGTTAACGTTTTTAGCGGGTTTACACGCAGAGCTACAGGGGCTCAAAGTCGTTCAAAGGGTTATGAAGTTCGGGTTTCGGAGTTAATCAGCCCCCCCCCCAGCCAAGATGGGTCCAGCTGCAGGGTTGGTATCACACTAAATGTAAAGGGACAATTTTGTCCACAGATTTGAAACCGATTCGTGTACATCTAGAAAGGATGCAAATTTGTGCCTTAAATTGGACAAAATTGTGTTAAGTCTCACACAGTTTGTCTAGTTTTAGGAACAAAATTGCATCCCTTCTGGATGTGCACAAATCGGTTCCAAATCTACGGACAAAATTGTCCCTTTACATTTAGAGTGAGAACTGTATCACGAGAGTACAAGAACTCAACTTTTTCCGAACGAAAAGTTGGCGCGAAACGCGAACAGTTGGTGTAGAGGCGGGAACAAACATCGTTCTCTTGTGTAAATATTTTTGCGAATAAACTCCGTTCCTGCTCTAGTTTCCATTCTGTACTGCAGAATTGAAAATCCCGAAAATGCCCTTTTTAAAATAGAGGACTATTAACGTCCTATACGATCGGAACAAGTTTTGGGTGCCCTGTCGGGCAGGAGGGCTGTTTTAGTCTTTCTTCAGAACTAAACTCCGATGCCATTATCTGTAACTATTACTAATTATTACATCCACGCCTCGGATGTGGGTCGCTCCGGTGCTTTGGAGTCAGTGGGAGTGCCAGTGGGAGAGCAGGCCGAATGTCCGACACTTAGGCAACACGTCAAACACCCTCATAGACTCTAAATGTAGAAGGAATATTTTGTCCATAGAAATTGAACCGATTCGTGCACATTCAGAAGGGATGCAATTTTGTTCCTAAATCTAAACAAATTGTGTGAGGCTTTACACAATTTTGTCCATTTTAAGGAACAATATTGCATCCTTTCTGTCTGGATGTGCACGAATCGGTTCAATTTCTATGGACAAAATATTCCTTCTACATTTAGAGTGTATTTTTTCCCAACTTAATGAAATTTGAGGAGAAACGGCCGTGTTCGATCGGTCGAAGTTAACTTCATACCCAATGTTTTTTGCAGCGCCTGGTTATATCTGATGAGACGCTGCGCATGGACATGTACAGTGGTGACTTCAGACAGGGCTTGCCACAGCTCCGCCACGTGGGCTTTTGCGGCTTTCCTGAACAACCGTGGACGAGTGATCAAGAGAATGTCATGATACTAGATATTTTGAAGAACAGAAAGGAATTCCTGAAAACGATCGACCTGGTGTGGACGAACCACGGCGAAGAGGTGAACAGCATGTTTCCTGGTAAATATTATACTCTCTGCAAAGAATCACACTCGCAATATAAAGGAATAATTTTGTTCATTGAACTGGAACACGCACTAAAAGTGAAGGAGTTGCCAAATACGATGCAAATAGAGCGATATTGTGAAGCCAATTTGACGACTCTTGTGGGAGCGAAATTAATTACATCGCTCGTTTGAAGTAACTTTTCGCGACATTTTTGGTTACGAATAAGTCTCATTTTGAGTCATTTCGCAAAAATTGCTCTAGCAGAGCGATAAAGCCTATACGTCGCTCTATTTGGCTGAGCCGCCAAGCAATAAAAATAAAGAATCTGAATAAGAATAAGAGGCGAAGCCTTACAGTCGAGTGGAGTAGCCCCCAGGAGTTTGGGAGATCACGGCCCAACTTATGGGGATCCAACCTTCCCAATCGTAAAGTTTATAGGGTTGATGTGAGTCAGAGAAATGTTGTTCTGATCAGAGCACTACAAAACTGGCTGCGAAACTAATTTTCGAGCAATTATTACCGTTTGAAAGATAACTGAGGTCAAAGTTAAAATGAGCGCTTGCTTCTAAAACGCCTCACGTTGCAGTCTGTGCGTTGGCAAGCCTGCGCATGAGAACGGCATGGTAGATCTTAGGTATATTTCGTACGCACGAGAAGCGGCGTCGAGTAAATGGGCAAAATGGGGACAAAAAAAAAACAAAGGACGAAAGAAGTTGAAAATTACTTCCCCATGGTAATTAATTGCCAACATAACAAAATCACAAAACAACAGAAACGCATATCGCTTTCGCGACCAGGGATCAGCCTCTTTGTCTATAACAATGCCTTGTAGGGAAAGAAAGGTCACTCTACGTTTTACAGTGCGTTCTGCGATCGTTTTTCACTCTGAACAAGCAGGCCCGCCCTTCCGCAATACGAAGTTACCAGCTTCACTTCGCTCCGCCGGCAACGCCGTTTAGCAGGGCACTCACGGAAAAAAAGAATTTGCTCCCACAACTAACGATTTTGTTTACATAGACATAACAAATAATTTTTAGTTGCAGGAACAAAGAAATTGCTATGGGAACCAAAATTCTGCTGCCACAACTAACGCGTCGCTATGGTCGGCTATGGTAACAAATGCAACTGTTCTGGTTACTAAACGAGGATTTTTTCTTACAACAAACGCATTTGTTACCATAGCGACGCGTTAGTTGTGACAGCAGAATTTTGCTTCCCAGAGCAAATTCTTTGCTCCTGCAACTAAAATTGTTTGTTATGTCCATGTTAACTAAATCGTTAGTTGTGAGAGCAAATTCTTTTTTTCCCTGCTGGTAAAACAAGTGTTTAATGTTAAACGCCAATTGGTGTTTATAAGTTCATTTGTGCATTTTCTCAACACAGTGTGGTGTTTAACTAGGTTAAACGTCAATTGGTGTTTAAACTTTAAAAACTTCCTAAAAGTATAGCAGCTGCATGCCATATGGTTCCTA